TCTAAACTCTGACGTTACGTGGTAGGTAGAGGTTGAGGCTGCCTTGGAGCCAACTTTGAGCTTAGAGTCAAATGGCCCCAGGATGGTGAGTGTTTGTCTAAACACTGAAACTGGAAACACTGGCCATTTTGTAGTTTGTATTTTAGATAGAAGGCTGAATATATTATTTTTGTCTCTCCTTCCCATGCTAAAGGCTTACTAAGGAGAGCGTGCATTGATTTCCAGCTGTCTTCTGGTTGCAGCTCCGTCTGTTGTGTGAGATAGGTCATCACCAAAGAGGGTGTAATAGGGCTCAGGACGAGGCAGGCGAGCGAGGCGTCGAAGACGCACACATGGAAATCAGGAAACCTGGGTTCTGATCTTCGTAGGTCAGCCACTTGGGAAGCATATTGCAAGGACCCAGTTGCTGCAACTGTTACTGTTCAAGATGACAGAAATATACCAGCATGGTGGTAGGCTACTTATGATAAAGACCAGTGAACTCTTCTGTAAAGCATCTTTTTAAAAAAGCATTACCTCATCCTCTCTAATTTCCTTTAACCATAGTATTTGTTAATTGAGCTGAAGCAAATGCAGCAGGTTTGAACTGAGTACAAAACAAAATTTCCAGAGACCGTGCTTACTTCTTGCTCTGTGCAAAGTACTTCTGGTGGAAGTGGACCCACCATGTCCCCACGTGGCCCCTGGGAGCGGAGCGTGAAAGACGCTGGGAGGAATTTCTCTGTGTGGCTGGTTCCCACGGCTTGAGCACCCAGTTGTTGAGTCTGCGGGATCCGTGGCTCTGAACGGCGGTGCCAGACTCTTGTTTGGGCTGGCACTCCGAGGAGACCTGAGCTGGCGCCTGCTTCCTCGGCTCGCCTACACGTGGAGCTTTGTTTTTTGTCATTGCCTTGTCTGGTGCAAGTGTTTATTATGTTGTAAACACGTAGGTGCTGTGAAGTAACTTTCTACCCTGAAAACAAGTTTTGAGTAGACCTGATGTCCTGATTGTGAGTGTTGGTTGAGACGAGTTCACCTGGCCTCCAGCAGAGGTCACGTGAGACATGATGCTGGAAGTCGGGGCATCAGAGTATTTTGAAAAGAGACGTGAGTGGTGGAGGCACCTGTGCCTGTGTGGGGGCCCCAGGATTGGGAAATCGGTGTTATGTGTGAGGGAGATGCACAGCTGGGCTCTGTGGAACAACAGAAGCTGGACATTAGCTTCCAAAATCAGGTGTCCAAAAGGAGGTCAGAATTTTGAATAGTTTACTCTTTCCTCCTCTTGTAAGCTTCAAAAGAACACCCTTTTAATTATTTCTGGGGTTTCAGGGAGGACCATGGTTTTGTAGCTTAGAAAGAGTGTTTAGGACAGAAGCTACTGCAGGCAAGGTGATCCCCTGACATGTGTCGGAAGGCTTAGGACAATGATGGTGAATCTGTGTGGGTGGTCTCCTGGTTCAGTCTTTCTGAACATATAAGGAACAGTCGTAGTTGGCGATATTCTTCCCTGAGAATTAAATTGTGTTTGTTGTATAAACTGGCACCAGAGGCTTTGGGAGCAGAGGTGAGAGCTCAGACACCTGCTGTACCATTTTCACATTGTGGGGACTTGGGCCGATTATTTAATCTCGGAGCTTTTCTCATTTTAAAATGTGGAGAATAGTACTTACCACAAAGGTTGTTGAACAAATTAAAGTGCTTCGGAGAAAACCTGGTAGGTGTTGATTAAGTTTTAAATGTATTCAAAGAAATAGGAAGTGATTTACAAAATCCAGCGTCAAGTGCAGAAATAATTACACAAAAGAGGGGTATGATTCCAGATGACTTGGGAATTTTGAAAAGATGCTTTTTTGCTTCTCTCTGGCCCATTATGTGATGAATTTTCCCCACCGACCTTTGGAATAACTCAACACTGAATTTCAGGAAAGTTTAAAACCTCAACAAATCGGTGCCTTCTCAGAACAGTGATTGAGTTGAATTGTGAGGGTCTGCACTTGCTTTTATTATCATTATTTACTGGGTGTTTTCATATTATAAATACCAGTAGCTGCCATTTATTTCCAGTTACTGTGTGCCAACTACCATACTAAACACTTGATAAACATGATCTCACTTAATCCCTGAGATAGTGGAAGATGTAGGTTTTATGGCCCTCATCCTCCAGATGAGTAAATGGGGTGCGCAGTGTTTTCATATGTGGAGGCTCCTGTAGCTGGAGTGCTTCTCAAGTTCGCCTCTTTGCTTTGCTACCAGATGGTCCACAGGATGGCGTAGCTCTTCAGATGCTAACTTGTCATAGAGTTTCTTGAGGGAGGGGTTGGTCTTTAGGATCTTGGAAACATTTTGCGCCTAATCAGGACTTGGGAAGGTCCAAGGAATTGACTGCCTATGTCCAGTGCCAGTTTTTCAGAAGTAATTTTTTTTGGTGTTTTGATTTGGACATGGATCCATCCAAGACAAGCCCAGAATGCTGTGGAATGACTGTTTAAAGGGGGAGTTTTAAAATGCAAACTAAAGAAAAACAAAACAAAACAACTCTGAAGTCTAGTCCCTTTTCCCAGAAACTGTTTTTTTTTAACCCCAGTTTTATTGAGATGTAATTGACATATATCATTGTATTAGTTTTAGGTGCACAACATAATTTATATATATACACACACACACATATATGTTACATATTTATAATTATATATATATTTATAGAGAAAGAGAGAAATGATCACCACATTGAGGTTACTGATCAGTCATCACCTCACACAGTATAAGTTTTTTTTTGTGATGAGAACTTTAAGATCTCCTCTTAGTAACTTTCAAATATACAACACAGCAGGAAGTGTGGTCATGCTGTAACTTACTTATCTTACAACCAGAAGAAATTTCTACCTTCGCACATTTTCTTCTCTTCCAAAGACCCCTGCCTCTGACAACCACCCTTCTGTTCCTTGTTTCTAGTGTGTTTGGTTTTTTTTTAGATGTCACATGTAAATTTGATCAAAAAGTATTTGTCTTTCTCTGTGTGACACATTTCACGTAACATAGTGCCCTTGAGATGCACCCAGGTTGTCACATGTGGCAGGAGTCACAATCCTGGGTCCTGTTTTGTTTGGTAGTCTGATGCTGTGAATCGGGACCACCCCCAGGCCTCACTCCTTACTCTCTCACCCTGCCTTCCTCATCCCCAGTGGTGGTGGTGGTGGTGGAGGAGGAGGAGGAGGAGGAGGAGGAGGAGGAGGATTTGTCAGCATTGTCACCATTTCAGTCTGTGTGATCTTCCAGAAAGTTCTTCTTGTAAGTTTATCAGCTGTGCAGTGCCAGTTCTTGGGATGTAACTTTCCCATGGTTTATTTAGGCTCTGGGTGCTGTGGCTCTTTGTTTTGTTTGGCTTCCTAGTCCAGTATCATCCAAGAGGCATTTGTTGTATTTGTGAAGACAAACAGAAGTCAAGGAGCTCTTACAAATATTGGTTGCACACAGGTGCTGTTTTGTTACAGTTGAATTAAGTTTTCCCATCTTCTCTTACTGACTTCAACCTACTCTTCTCAGCCTAACTTGTCTCCTATCCCCACCACTCCACAGACTTTTTTAAAATGTGACAGTGACAGAGGGCAATAAATCTAGCTGCGGACAATAGTCTGGACAGCAGAAGATTTTTAAAGACAGATAAGTAGCTTGCTGTTTGCAGAGTACCCTGCCGGGGCACAGGGTCTGTAGAAATACGGTGTTAGCAAGTCCCCAGTTAGGGCACTGCATTAAATTTTCACTAGCAAATATTTGTCCACGGCAGTTTAAATCATATTTTATTCTGTTTACACATAAGGGGGCAGTGTGGTACTATAAAGCAAGTGTGCTGGTGAGGTGCTTATTTATATTGGTATATAATAGTTTTTAGGTGAGGATTTTCAGACTCTGATTACAACTTCGATATGGTTTTCTCTTACGAACTGTGGTACACATATGTGATACCCTCACTCATCTACACAGGTCACATGGCGGTTTTTATTCAAATGCATAAGTATAATAGTTTCCTCATAACAACGGGGCTTTTATGCCGTGCCTTTTATTGTTTTATATTTATGTTTTGTTTAATGGTCGCTGGCTTCCTTCCTGTTTCTTGCTTCTTCCTGAGGAGCATCAGCCCTCTGGCAGGCCATGTCTGTGAGGTGGCTGTCTTTAAAGAGTTTCTTTTCTGCCCTCACTGAAGGCACACGGGTCTCCTGTGTTGTCGGGGACAGGAAGTCTCTGAGCCCAGGTCCTGGCAGACGTGGAAGGTCCATTATAAATCACCTGTGGGATAGACTTCCCTTTATGGCACAGGGTACTTTTCTCAAAAAACAAAAAATTGCCAGGCAAAGAAACAGCACGTGTTAATGAATACTATTGCTACCATGCAAATGGCACTGTGAATAATCATGGTGCTAATATTCTGGGTTTCATAAGTGGAGGAGTTACTATTAAAGAGAAGTTGGAGGGTATTAAAGTGAATTGATAAATGTCTACAGAACAGTTTATGAAAAATGTATGTGGGAATCTGAAAAGTAATTTCATAAACACAAGCTATTTTTTTAATGTAAAAATATTTGCAGTCACATGTTTTTGTTTGTGCAGTTTGAAAAACATTGAGACCAGCTTTTTGGCATGAATATAATGCTGTGTGAAATTTCACAGGGATATTTGTTTTTAATAATTTTATCCTGGCTACTTCTCTTTTGGGTAAAGAGCTGTGCTATTGTCTATAGCTGGTGGAGACAATTACCCTTGTTTAGTTTGGAAATGAATTTATTGTGAAATAGAAAGATTTCATGTTGCTTTGACTTAATTTTAATGAGAAAATATTCTTTAGAAATCTGTTAAGAAATAAAGACTTACACGGTTTACACCCAAGTTTTGAAGGGATGGAGTTTTGGCTCCAGCTCACTTTGGATGAACTCCAAATCCAATGTTGTTTGATGCTGGTTTACTGTTGGAATACACAGGTTTCTGCTCAGGGGAAATAATTAACACCCTTTATGCTTTGATGGCAGATTTTTAGGACCCCGCCTGATGCCACATTCCCTGAGCCAGTCTCCCTGTCAGCGTCACCCCCAAATGCGCCACCAAGACAATCGAAGAGACCAGGCCAGAGGACCAAGAGACCCGTGGCCGTGTATAATCTTTGTCTCGAGCTGGAAGATGGTAAGATGTTGGTCACATTTTTCTGTTTGACAGCGTGTGGAGACTATGGCATATTGTATGGCCCCTGGGCAGGCCATGGTTTTCCGCCTTTTGTATTTTAATTTCTTTTCCCCTAAGATTATAATTTATGAGATTAACAGAAAGGGTAATACCTTCTTGTCAGGGAGAGAATGTAAGTTTCAGTTTTGTGTTTGTCTTTGTTATGCATGGTTCCTTTCATACTTTTAAAAGACAGCTTAAATTTCTTTTTTTGGGAGACTTGTGTGACCTACTGCGAGGTTATATAACCCTGAGACAAATGGAAGGGGAGCTAAAATTAAAACAGGCCTTTTATGAGAGGAGCAAGATAGAGTCTGATGTTAAATGCATTTAGATTAAAGGCAAGTGTGGCTTACTGTTGCATTGGGGTTTACTTGCCGTATTTTTCTGACTTTCTCACAAGGTCGGTGTCTGATCCTATGGCAGGGGTGGGGAAGTTATCCTGCTTTTAGGGGCCAGGCTGAGGGGACTGAGCTGCATTTCCCATTTCTGGGAAATGAAAGTTCTTGTGCTCCATTCAGGCTACCGTGTTCCAGCGAATTCTTGTATGTGGTCATGTTGTCTCAGCATTGCCAGATTGCCTACTTTTTAGAGTGTGGAAATTTGAATTTTAAATACTAATCCCTACAAACAAAATGGCAAGCTGGGTACAGGCTGCCAATGGCTGATTCGTACCCATGGGGTTATTGGTGTGGATGATAAGATAATCGTGGTCGCAGAACCTGCATTTTCAGGGTGCGTGTCTGCAAGGGGGGCTGTTTTGTTGTGGGACTTCACCCCTGCTGAGGACGTTGCCTGATTTTGAAATACGTTTTTGTTTTTCTTCTCATCTTCTTTCTTTTTGTATCTTTCACTTATTATTCTTTAAAGCTGAAGAACTGCTGTTGGTTTGGAAGTGTCAGTGATTGTGGAGGGGAGGAAAAGGGTGAAGATAGCAACAAATACTGGTACAATACCGTCGTCATAAGTAGCTATGTGGTCAAATGTCCAGGTAGTTACTATGCAAAGATCTATGCAAACAAGCTTCACTGACTTCAACTCAGTTGACCTGGGTCCGTGGGAGGCCTCAGAATGCTTCCTGCAAATTACATGGGGGGCCATGATGCTGTATTTTTAAATATTTTTAATTATTTAAAAAATTTTAAAGATCTAAAAATTTTGTGGGTAATTATTTTATTCCTTTTTAAAAATTACTAAATTTATTGGGGAGACATTGGTTAATACAATTACATAGGTTTCCAGTGTACACTTCTGTGATACATCATTTATGTATTGATTTGTGTGCCCACCACGTGAAGTAAGATCTCCTTCTATCACCATGCATTTGATTCCATTTACCAGCCTCCCAGCTCCCTTCCCCTCTGGTAACCACCGTTCTGTTGTCTGTGTTTTTCGTTTCTGTTTTTGTCTTATTTGTTCATTTGTTGCTTTCAGTTTTATATCTCACACATAAGTGAAATCTTATTATTGCCTGTTAGTGAAGCAGACTTATTGTCTGATTCAGCTCCCTGGTTTATTATGCTTACTGCCTGATTCCTTTTGCTCCCTTCTTCTATTAATACTAACTAGCTGCTTATGCTAACAGTATGGTTGTTGACCTTTTCTGCTGACTTATATCACTAGCATGATAGCCTCCAGACCCATCCATGTTGTTGCAAATGGCAGTATTTCATCTTTTCTTATGGCTGATTAGTGTTCTGTAGTACATACGCACCCTATCTTTTTAATCTAATAATCTGTCAAAAGCATCTTTGGTTGTTTCTGTGGCTTGTCCACTGTGAGTGATTAAAAATAGGGGTGCATATATCTTTACGAATAATTGTTTTAAATTTTTCTGGTACCTACCCAGAAAAGGGGTTGCTGGGTCACATGGTAACTCTATTACGACTTTTTAGAGGAACCTCCTTACTGTTTTCCATGGTGGCTGCACCAGCTTACATTCCCACCAACAGTGAATGAGGGTTCCTTTTTCTCCACAATCTCTCCAACACTCGTTCATAATAGTCACTCTGTAGGAGTGGAATGGTATTGCATTGTTTTGTTTTGCACTGGGAAAAGTGTCTGTTTGGGTCCTCTGCCCATTTTTTGATTGGATTGTTTATTTTTTTGTTGTTTAGTTGTATGGGTTATTTATATATTTTGTATAATAACTTCTTATTGGAGAAGGTGTTTGCAAATATATTCTCCCATGTGGTTGGCTACCTTTTTGTTTTGTTGAAGGTTTCTCTTCCTGTGCAGAAGCTTTTTAATTTGATATAGTCCCACTCTTTAATTTTTGCTTTACTTGCCTTGCCTTTGAGGTCATGTTCATTAAAATCTCTAAGACCAAGGTACATAAATTTAGTACCCATGTTTTCTTTTGTGCAGTTTATTGTTTCTGGTCTTATATTTATGTCTTTGACTGATTTTGAGTTAATTTTTGTATATGGTAACGAATAACAGTCTTGATTCATTCCTTTGCTTGTGGTTTTTCAATTTTCCCACCACCATTTATTGAAGAGGTTTTCTTTTCTCCATTGTATGTTTTTGGCTCCTTTGTTGAAAATTATTTTCCTATATATGTTTTATCTTTACTGGGGGCTTGTTTAAGACATATTTCAAATCATAGAAAATTACTTTACAGTCAGATCTTTATTTTCCAGGGGAAGAGGCATGAAATTATAGGCAGGCCTATAATTTCAGAGCTTTCTTTTAGACATTAGTTTTAACTTTGATCCCAGCTAACCTTTTTATTCTCTCTCTCTTTTCTCACTTTCACTCTCTCTCAATAGAGTTGCTAATAAGGAGTGAAACTGACTGGTTAGAATTGCATCTTATATTTCACTTGTTGTCAGGTAGAAGTGTTAATAAAGAGAGAAAGAAGCAAATGTTGAAAAGTAAAAGGGGGAAAGAGACATCAAAACTGGATTGACTATGTTTCATTAAGGAAATGACCAAAGGGGGGGGGCTTTTGTCTTAAAATTACATTTAATTTTTTGGCATTAGTAGGAATCAAATCCTAATATGCAATCAGTGATTGTTAATGGGTAAGAAATTGTTGAAGTGATATCTAGCACATCTTTTATGGGAATATTCATGATGGTTTACTATAATTTTTTTGTCATATAATAATTTTTTTTAAAGTTTTGATTGTAAGAGAAAAGAAGATCATCAGAGACTCAACTTTAGTCTTTTTTTATGTTCATTTATATGATGTTTCATTCTGCATTTTGTATTTTATAACTTTACATTCTTTTTTATTGTAGCCTTAGATTTTGGGGGGGGGAGTTGTCAGAATCAGAAAAGAATCAGAATCAGAATTTTCATCATGGAGTGATTTTATCTTGCCCTAGAGGCCATAAGATCAAGCAGTTAAAAACTATTAGTTACCCCTTACCACCTCCCATTATTTGTAGCTAAGCTTTAGGGAAACTTGTGTGAGAAGAATTAGTTCAGAGAGAAGAATGTAGGGGTGTGTTTTGCATGTTCTGTAGGAAGAGAAATGTACGAAGAGCGGGGTGTGCTTTTGAAACGAGGCAGGGAGAGGGCGCCAAAAGTCATGTTAGTGAATATGAGTCAGCATATTGAAAACTCTACCCCTTCAGAAACATCTGTTCTCATCACTGTGACTTAATTTTTTTTCCTGTAGAATAATCTAGTGTCAGTTACTTGGATGTTTCAAAATTTTAATTTTTTATTGTATGTTTTTTTCTCGTTGTTAGCAGTAGAGTCACTTTCCATGTTTAGTTTTGGTTAAGATATGAATGTTAGCCAACTTTGGTTATTTTTCCAAATGTTTTCCAAATGTTAGTTTATATGAGTCTGATAGAAAATTTAAATGCCAGTATGTCCTTTTCTCTCCCTCACTGTAGTGTAGGTTAAATTTGATTTAATAAAATCCAGGACAAATAAATTTTGTTGAAAAGTTAGGCAGATTGCCCAAGAAGATTCAGGAAATGGGGATGGACACCCCTGGGGAGTTTCCGCAGCCCCAGAACCTGGTCGCAAATGAGACATTTGAGTGAAGTGGTTGGTGACGTTGTTTCATCTCCGGCATTGGTAGGCTGTGGAACTGACGTCCTGACAGCAAGCCCTGGAAAATACTCGGTTGGTTTCAGTTTAACATCAGACAGAACAAAAGTCATTATTAGCAAAGGCTCAGCAAGCCTGTTAGCATGAGCTTGGAAGCAGAGAACCCAAAGTGGTGTGAAATAGGAGAGAAGCCCTGCTGGTAGACAGGATTTTTATTATGTTATATTTAACCCTACCATACTCCCAGCTGAGATGGACTTTAGCAAATTTAGCCATGCTACATATACAGAGCTCATTATTTTTCTTTGTAATATATGATTAAATGGTATTAAACTTATTGTTGATATTAAAGTTAAAGACTTTAAAATTCTAGTTACTAGCTTAAATATCTTTATTGATAATTATTATGAACTAAAAAGGGTGTAGTATCTAGCTAGATTTCTTTAAATAGAGTAGCTGTTAAATATTTACTAAAATTATTGTCTTTATTATTTTGTAGAAGTCGTATTGTTTATTTTTCATAGCATTGAATGATCTCGCAAACTTCAAACCTGAGTTGATTCAGCTAAGTCAATTGTGAAATAGCAAAATAGAAGGTAGGCTGCCAAGTGTTTTAAAAAAAGATGAAAAATCAAAGGTTTGCTTTCATTGCATTCTCAAGTTATCTTTTTGTGTTTTGATTTCTGTAGAGCTAGTAATGAAGCAACTCTAAAACTTTTTAGTGTATGTTGTATCTTTGTTTTCTCCTGCTCACTCCAAATTTATGTCCTTACTACTTCCAGGTAAAGAGAGGCTGTTGTGTTATAATCCCCATTCCATACAAGGGGAGTTTGTGAGGCTAAATGAGATGTATTCATTGTTATTTTTTTATTCAAGGCAGGAACCAATTTTAAAAGAAGTTTTGGTGAGTGAAAGAGAATATTGTCATCTGAAATTTGAGTAAGCTCTCC